CATCAGTGCCACAGCTAGTGGTGGGGTATTGGGGGGGTAGATGTTGTTAGTGAACTCCGCTGTGGCTGTAGCCCAATCGGACGTGCAGACAAGTCAGATGAGGATATCCCCGAGTCCCGCTAATCATGTTGGTCCCTGTAGCGCAAGTCTAGAGTGATCCGTGGGCCGGGGTTCAAGCCTCATCGCTTACGGGAGAAGGGGGTCTATGATTAATGGAGACTGGACCCGGATCTCGTTCCTTGGGAGTGTCGCATCTTACTCGCGAGCTTCAAGAGAAATATACGACCAGACATTCCATGAGCGGAATCCGAGCGGAATCCGAGTCGTCATTTCTGCATACTATCGGTGTGTATGTGAGTATGTGGTGAAGAAAGTTCAAGGGGGGATGGGGGAGGGAGAAATTACAATAACAACAATAGCAGAAAATGGCAGGGCAGACGAGAAGAGACAGGGTTGGCTGGCAACCGAACGCGGGAAAGCTCTCTCCGCAATTTCCAGCGGAGACGATCCTGCAAAAGGAATGGACTCCATGGCAGGATGAGGTATTGATTGGATCGCCATCCCTTGCCTCCCAGTTAGTTCAGTTCTTCCCCCGCAGTCAGGTGCATGGCTTTTTTACCTCTTCTTCTATTGTATTGGAGGGGAGGCGGAAGAGGAGGGGGGGTATGACAGGGAGATGTTCCCATTCGAGTACTAATCTAGGGAGGAGAAGGAGGAAGAGGAGAAACGGGGATGAGAATGTTCGGTCAGACTCAAACTGAGTCTACTACAGATTACTACTAACTAGTCAGGGAAAAGTAAGACGAGATGGAGGTGCATTTGCTGCAATGTATGGAGGGTCATCATTACCTTTTTGCCCATCGTTCAGGTTCAAGGTACGTGCAGCATCTGGGAGGGGAAGAGAGAAGGAGAAGCGAACTAAGGTTGAGGGTGATCGCGTTGATTCGCGTTGATTTGGACCCGCGGCCAGGATTGCCGTGTAACCTAACGCCAGTATGACGTTGACGAATGCCCAGTGCGGAATGACACAAAGAAACTTACTAGTAGGGAAAATCCATCCATGCATGAAAGAAATGAAAAGAGAAGAAGAAAAAAAAATTTCTGGCACGAGAAATTGTGCCAAAGGGGGGAGAAGAGCGAAACCATTATGAAATGGGAATTATGGTATATTAATCTGTGTAGTCATTGTCTCTTGAGATGTTTCCGGAATTTATTAATAACTTCTTGGATTTTTGCTATACCTCTTTCCACCACCGCATGGTATATACACAGCAATAAGAAGTACAACCAGTCTACTCTCCCCTGCTACTCTCGTGGCGTTTCTACTGTCACTTTCGACCCTGGATAGCTGTGTATAATTGTCGACTAAACATACTATCAGCATACAAACCCTGCCAATAATGTCCTCGTTGGCGGTCGCATGATGACCACCTAACCCTGGGAATTAGGGTTGGATTTCGGGGGTTTCATGGTGCATCGTTGTTTGGAACCGCTGCGGCCGTGAAATCCCTCCAATTCTCCTTCGGGGATTCAACAGGGCTCAGGATAGCCCAACAGGCTGATCCTCCCCGTTCATCCCTCTTTCTGGGTTGCGCCCAAGCTCCTTCAATGTTCCAGTCTTTCCCCTCCCCTCTCCCCAGCCTCCACAGCCCCATCGCGGGTTGGATCGGGCGATTCCTCAACAAGACTCTACTAAGTACTAACCCCCAGGTTCTTGAACCCGATAGGGTTTGAACGGCATTGCGTCCCCTCTATCTAGATAGTTGATCTTATTGAAGGAAGTAGCAGAAGTTTAGTCATTTTTGTACCTGATCTGTCAAAATTAGTTTTAGTTGGTTAGCTCCTATAGGCTAATTTCCATCAGGGTAGTATTTCGTCTAAGTGGTAGTAGCTCCGTGAGTAGAAGAAGAAATTAAAGAAAAGCCCCGCTTCAGGGTCAACGGGGAAAAGAGGAGACGAGGGAGAGAAAAAAAAAAAAAAAAAAAAAGGAAATGGACCAGGCCGACAGTCGCAAATCCGGCGATGCTCAGAGGGCGACCGGGGCATTTTTGTCTAGGCCAGTCAGAAAGCGCGGAGGATCTTCGACTTGACCTCCAGAGGCCCGCCCGGCCCACTCACGGGCGTTCCATCGACGGCCGACTGGTTCTTGCTGCTCTAAGTACTCTCCTCTTTTGCTGCTGGTCGCCTGCTGCCTGTCATACTGCTCCTGCTGCTGCTGCTGTTGCTGCTGCTTGCTGCTACATACGGACTTTCAATCACTACTTACTATGTACAGTAAGAACCCCCTTCCTTAATCTCTTCTTCCCCCCTCCTTTTGCCCCAGTTTTCTGTTTTCTGGATTTAATAATATTTTATTTTTCTTTCATTTTCTAAACTCTTCAGGGTAGTCAGATTGAAAGTTGTGCAGGAGTTGAGAGTCTATTACCCCGTCAATCCTCCCCGGTTGTCTCTTTTCTCTCTCCTCTTCGTCTTTTTTTTTTCTTTTGTTGTTGAAGCACTGGAGAATCCTTTCCCCATCTTGCGGCCTATGGTTCCGTACCGTATCTAGACTCACGTCGATTGTCTTACCCCGCCTTGGAGCGATAAATTGATCGTATGCTCCAGGTACGTAGTCGCCCCCCTTAGCCGTGGTTAGTGTGGATGGAGGTAAAAGGTACCGGGCCACAATCGTTCACTTGTACTTTGCTTTCACCACGGACTTGAAGGTTGGCACTGCTGGTAAGGACCAGGATAAAAAGAACCACAACCACGACCATTTCCTCCTCTTTCCCTCCAATCCCTCCCTCCCCCCAAAACTAAACTTGCTCGGTCATAGCTCAACCTTTCACACCCTCGACACCAACCTGCAACCCGCGCCACTGCTGCTCGGTGCTCCGACCCGTGGCTCGCTGTTTTTCTCCTCCTGGCTCGTCTCGTCCAGTGGCCTGAGGTCGACTTTGAACTAGTCCAGAGCTACCTCCCTTAGCTTGCATTAATATTATCCTCCTACGCAACTTACGACTGTACAACTTCCCCTTCTCCTCTTTCCTCCTACCACCGTACTAATTCTCGGTCCTGATCATCATCTCTTCTTCTTCTCTCTTTCCCCTTCTCTTCCCTTCCTCCACCACAAACTACTACTTAGTTGTCACTCTCACTACTTCCCACTTCTATCCTCCCTGTTGCTCCTTGCCGCCTTCCTGTCTCTCTCCCTTGGCCCACTCTCGATAAGGCTTGCGATCACACCACACCCTATCCCCGGCTGAAGATCGTCATCGGTCAAGCAACGTTGCAGAAGCCACACTGCCACTCCTGTCTGTCTCTGCGACCTGCGCCGCTCTGCGATCCGCACACACGCACACACATACTCTCTCTCACTCTTTCTTTCACGCCCGCGTCCCCCAACCCATCCTTCTTGCGCCGTGACAAGCTCGGGATTAATAAGGGGCCTAACTGTCAACCTAATTCGCTTTGGTCGGGTCGCAGAATAATTTCTGGCCTTCGACGGGCTCTCTCGCTCCCCTTGCTGCTGTGATCGTCGCTCGTCAGTCTCAAGATGCGCTGCTCTTGAGGAGATCTGCCCATAGTTACTGGTGCCATTTTGCCTGCCAACGTTATCCGTCTATGGTCACGCTACCGTCTCCCCATCCCGCACACCTCTTGATCCCTTTCATCGCGACTCGACATACAGTGAGGTCATAGGTCTTCTCGAGCGACTTACCGCGAATAACCCCTCCGAATTACCACCACCATCATCCAAAAAATAGTTATAACAGGAAACGGAAAGAACAAACATATTCTTCTGTTGGTCTGGTGGGATTGCCCCTCTAGGCTCACCTCAATTCTCGCCTTTCGACTGGTCGCAAAGCGCCATTTTACACAATACCTTCTTTGATTAGACAGAAGCCTGGTCGCTTCGCCTGGAGAACAATCTCCAGCTACAACTGGGACGGATTTTACGATCGGGTCGATTGCTTGTGTTTTATGTTGGATAGACGGTACAAAAAGTTGCGTTTTATTCTCTGTTAGATTGGTAAGTGAATCCCCATGCTCCGTGCCAAATACCGTTCGTCCGGGGACAATGTGCTGACCACACGGGGTGGCGCAAACAGACGCGATCACGATTTTCTGCGATTTCTACTTGTCTGGGACGATCGGCGATACCCATATTTTTATACTGGTTCCAGGCTTGACCTGAATTTGTACTTTTTTCCACAAGGTACGTATATATTTTTTAGTGTCTATTTGTGTGGTTTGCGTTGCGATCGTGGTCCGTGGCCTGGCCTTCCCCGCAATTTCCCCGGAGAGCTATCTACTATACGGTCCCTCGACTGTTCCATTCGTCACCGCTGCCCTCGAGCATGCGGAAGACACGAAGCTCTTAGTTCATCCGTTATAAGTACGGACGAACGGGCACTTGTGTGCTTTTTCCAGCCTCAGCTTCAGTGGCTCCTCTAAGAGAATTCCCCCGGGAAGTTTCTGAACCAGGACAGCCCCTGGAATCCAGGCATGAAAATAGCATGATCTCGTTGAGCGCATGTGAAACGGGATTCTGCTGGGTTTTCTGGGCTTTGATCATATGATCCGCAGGAAGCTCCAGAGGCTGGCGTTTTCCAGGCCCATGGGTGGCTGCCCGTCTCGCCACCCACAGCTGCTTCCCCCAGACTTACTCAGCGTACACGAGCTACACCTGGGCTTGTCAGGCTTCCTTGACTCTTATTTCCTTCTGCTCGGCGAATCCCATTTCCCGGTTGAATATCCTCGTCTCCCTTACACTTTGACTTTTATATTCCTCCTTCCAGCCTTGAACTGTCCCAGCTTTTGTGCATCTGCCTCAACAACCACCAGCCTGGGCTAACTTATCATGCCGCAAGCAATAGCTTATACCTCTAGGAGCTCCTATTTCAAACGGAATAATTCACTCCAGACACGGTGGTTTCTGATTTACTATTAGAGTGTTTTTGCCTCGTTGATTTTCGCCCACTCGATTTGAATCGAAGGTAACCACTCTTGGCTTTTATTTGCCGTGCGGTACTTACCGGCTTCGAGTGAATACTCCGGGCTTTTCATTGTATTCTGAAGAGGCCAAGCGTTCGTTACACGGATCGAGTCATTCACGATTTAATATCCTCTGACGTCAGTTGTCTCTGTAAGTGAAACCCAACAATGGCTCTATATATCTTGATCTTATCTCTTTCATCTTGCCCTCCTCTCCGCCTTGCGACGTCCACTTCCTTACTCTCAAACATCATTCCTCTCATCTTAGCCCATGTTGTATTTTCTATCACTCGAAAATCACTGACATTTTCATGGCCAGTGTACTTTGCGCCTTGCTATACGCCGTCTTCCAGTTCTTATTTAAACATCATGGCTGCGCCACCCGGCAAATCTACTGCGCAGGTGGTCAAGCCTGTCACTTCGTCGACTCCGACCAGTAACGTGTCCGCCAGGCTAGAGAAAACCCACCCTGGCGTTCGCCGATCCACCCCTGATTCCGAGGCTTTGGCGTCCTCTGATGACGATGGAGACCATTCACAGCAGGTCGCCACATCTACGAGCATGCCAGCACCCAAACCTGCTCGCCGTACGTCATGGCTAAATGAAATTCCAGCTACCGCGACCAGAAAGGCATCATTGACCACTAGTGGTCCTTTGTCCACTGGAGCCTCTAACCCAAGCAGTCCTGCTACCGACCAATCCGGATGGCCGAACACAAGTCCTGGTATCGGTAGCTCTATGCCCTGGAACCATGTAGGGAACCCTTCCTTTCCCTGGGGCACTGGTATCTGGAATACCGAGTCTCGGAAGGAGCCTCCACCGCGACTTGCGGAAATCGTCCCATCTCCGACCATGTCCAACCCCTCTACTGCGAGCAATTATTTCACGGAGGAAATACTGAGCCCTACCACTCGTACGACCGCTGGCGAATCGGCTATCCCATTCTCAATTCCTCTGCATCCGACTCCTAAAACCTATCGGTCGCAGTCATACTCGGTAGGTCAGTTGGATCCTGAGTTCCTGAGCTTTATGGCGAACAAGTCCTCAACGCCTTACTCTGGCGGTCGTCCTCGTAACGGCAGCCAATTTTCCGCCTTACAGCATCGTTCATCGCGGCCTAGTCTTCTGGGGGAGCTGGGTCACGACCCCGCTACGCTCGGACGTGTGCGCGAGGATGACGACGATGACGCTGGCAGCCCAGATGGTTCGGATGGTAGCTTTAGCAACTATGCAGCCAACCAAGCCCGGACCATCGAACAGCTGTCAAGGGAAAATGCCCTTTTACGCCAAGCAGCAGGACAGATGGACAACCCAATGAGAGATCGTACCATGTCGTCTGCCTCCGCAGCTAGCGGATATGCCATCGGAAGTGGCATCCATAATTTGCACCGTATTCGCGGCAGTGTTCCCGAGGAGACCGACCTGGCGGTAGAAGATCTTGACGAGGTTGGCGATATCCCTGGTTACAATAACATTCATAGTAGCGGTCGGAGAAGACTCTCCGAGCATTCAGCAAACCTCGAGAAGCAGCTCCCCCCTTACACGTCGTTCCAAAACCGTACTCTGGAAAACGTCCGCAAGGCTCATTGGCAAACTTCTCTTGACTTTGGTAGCATTGCAGATATTCCTCAGAGTCGGCGCCATTCCTTTGCGGACATTCCTATGCGACACGCTTCTGTCTCAGGGGAGACCCAGGCAGCCCCCAGTACTAGGGCTGGATTGGGTGATAGAGAAGAGGACTATGCGAGCATTGTTGACGGCCCTCTTTCGAATGTTCAAGGCCAGAATCGTGAGTATCCTCGTTTTCATGTGGCCCCTCGTCCCGAGGAACATGAAATGGAGACGGAGTATTTACGAGCTCGTCGATTTGCAGAAGCCTATTTTGCTCGCGATCCAGTTCTCCGCGCAGCCGACGGCCCCGCTTCGATGGCCACGTCCCTCCACCAGGCATACACGATGCCAAACGCCTACGGCCGCCACCAGCCTGGCCTCGCCCATTCGCACCAAAACCAGCTCCTGTATATCGTTACATTCAAATGCCATCGGGCGGATGTCTTCTATATCCAGGAAGATACTGGTCTCCAGGTGAAACCCGGTGACCTCGTCATCGTCGAAGCAGACCGCGGTACGGATCTTGGCACTATACAGCACGCTAACGTGTCTATGCAAAGAGCCCGGGAGCTGAAACAGCAGTATGCCGAGGAACACTACAAGTGCTTGATGATGTTCTCTAGACAGGGCCAGAATGGGGCCGCGAATGTGGTCAATGCTTCTAGTGGTGTACCCGGCTTGAATAACAGAAGCGCCATTGGTGGCATGGGTCCACATGGTCCGCATGGGATTCAGGACTCTGCTGCCGACATCAAGCCTAAACTAATCAAGAGGCTTGCCCAGAATCACGAAATCTTAACTCTACGTGAAAAGGAAGGAAATGAAGCGAAGGCAAAGCGGGTCTGCCAGCAGAAGGTTACCGAGCATCGGCTGAATATGGAAATTCTTGATGCCGAATTCCAAATGTAAGTTCACTTGTGTCGTTCGGCACAGTCAATCACATGCTAAAAAGGACTTTTCCACTAGGGACTGGAAGAAGCTCACCTTCTATTACTTTGCGGACTCCTACATCAATTTCAATTCGCTTGTTACCGATCTTTTCAAAATCTATAAGACCCGCATCTGGATGTCGGCTATCAATCCAGCGTCATTTGTGACGCCCCCCAGTGCTGACTTGTCGGCTCCAAACCCTCTAGCTTACAATCACGATGCGCAAGCGGATCGCCCCCTTGACGGCCGAATCTACGGTCATCCTCGTGACGCCATGGGCACAGGACGAGACATCGGCGCCAACCAGATGGGGATGTTGCGCAATGCTTATGCCGACTCCTATCAGCCGTTCAGCCAACCCTCTCGCCAAACAGAGCTAGGTGGACTCGCTTCTGTGGATCCCTTTTCACCCTACTCGGCGAACAACTATGGCTCTTTGGAATCGGGATACGTTGATTACGGCGCAGGTACGAGCGCAAGCTCCGGACCATCCCGCCTACATGCTGCCCCCAGCGAATGGATAAACAACCGTTTCCAGGGGTTGTCCCTGAATTCCTGAGGAATACCATGCGATTTCTCTGTACAAATTGATTCAATACCGCTGTACATCGAGAGCAGCTTTTCTTTCTATCGTCTTCTTCCGCCACCTATGCAAAACTTATCCTCCTGTCTCCCAAACCCTAAAGAGGGACCACCCGCTCCGCTTTCATGTATTCAGATTTCACTTTACTTGTCGTTTTTCTCGCTGACTTCGCTCTTTTACACCATCACTACATCTCTCTTTTCTAATGTGTTTCTTACAAGAGATTAGAAATCATGTGCAACGGATCAAAAGGAAAGACTCATGACCTGTCGTTAGTGCTGATAATTAATCATAGACTTCGGCTTTGATGGTCTAGAGGCTTGAGCATGTCCGTCCCGGGCTATGCTGCAAGCCATCAGATCATTGCCAATTAAATGGATCGGTTTTTTTCTATTGTCTCCTAATTGCTAATTGTGTATTATGTTATTGCCGACTTGGCCCTATATTTACCATTTGCGTGGCTGTAAAGTCTCCATATATAGGCTTGTCAAGATGGGTGTTTACTTTCACGTGAGCATGCCAATTTCAACTCTCACTGATGGGTCCTTGACGATAGAATCAATTTCGTTTATTTCTGAACGGTGCATGAGCCAGATGTAGGTAGCCTATGATTACTAGAAAGGGTACACCATCTATGTCTTTTCAATTTCAATGCATATGGTATCACGTAAGCAACTTATGATTAGACCCATCCTATTCTGAGGTCTAACAGCCAGGATGTCGGAGTGTCTGAAACTGTTGCCTTGTCGCCTTACGGTCGCAAAAAGCGTAGAGGAAAAGGCTAGTAGTAATGAGGTAGGCGGTGTATAATAATACCTCAGGCATGAAAGGGAGACATAGTGCGCAACCTAATTGGTTGGGGTGGGGGCTCGCCTAATTCTCTAGCGTCCCACACACAAGGTCGTTGAAGAGACTACTATCTTTGCTCCTCCAACTTTTCAGCTGTGACAACCGACGACGATCGACGACCTGCCACGCCGACAAGGTACGTTTTATCGCGCCCTTTCGCTGTGATTACTGCTGCGATACAACGAATCGCTCTGCAGCCATCGAGAAAAAGAGAATTGAGCACGAGAGACTGATATTCCGATTTTCGTCCAGATGGGTGCCCTCAAGTACGTGGAAGAGATCCAGAAGAAGAAGCAGTCCGACGTGATTCGCTTCCTGCTGCGTGTCCGTTGCTGGGAGGTGAGAATTCCCCCCTATATTGCGATCACTTAACATCCCGCCGGGTGCTCGTGTAGTTTGCCATAGGATGCCCTTCTTGAAATAGAGAAATGGTGTTACTGGGCGGCTCGAAACGAACTTTTTTCCCTTCGCCGGCGGATGGATGTGGCACAAACAGAGAGACTTGAGAGAAGCCTCATGTGTCTTGCTATACACTCGTTGAACTTTGCTGAGAGTGCATCAATATAGCTCCGTCAACTGAACGCTATCCACCGTGCTTCCCGCCCCTCTCGCCCCGACAAGGCTCGTCGTCTCGGCTACAAGGCCAAGCAGGGCTATGTTGTCTACCGTATCCGTGTGAGACGCGGTGGTCGTAAGAGACCCGCTCCTAAGGGTGCCACCTACGGTATGTATAATCTATGTTTTGGATCGATGGGAGTCGGATTGAGGCTAATTCGTGTGCGACTACAGGCAAGCCCACCAACATGGGTATCAACCAGCTCAAGTACCAGCGCGCTCTCCGTGCTACCGCTGAGGAGCGTGTTGGCCGTCGCTGCGCCAACCTGCGTGTCCTGAACTCCTACTGGATCAACCAGGACTCCACCTACAAGTACTTCGAGGTCATCCTCGTCGACCCCCAGCACAAGGCCATCCGCCGCGATGCTCGCATCAACTGGATCTGCAACGCGGTCCACAAGGTACGCAATAATTACTATTGGGAAGTTTCCCATGATTACAGGTTACTGACCTGGGATGTGTCTTATAGCACCGCGAGGCCCGTGGTCTTACCGCCACCGGCAAGAAGTCCCGTGGTATCAACAAGGGCCACCGCTACAACAACACCCGCTCTGGTCGCCGCCACACCTGGAAGCGCCAGAACACCCAGAGCTACTGGCGTTACCGTTAAATGTAGATGGGGTGTTTATGGGGGTTGTTGGTTATGGGAAAAATTTGATCCTGTGGATGTCACTATTTCGATCAAAACTCGCATCTACGGTGCCGTTCTGGAACTGCTGGGGTGCGAGCATAATGCAACAGATCTTCTGGATCGGATGTTAGCCAAAATACCTTTTTTCACTTTTCTCGGTTCAACTGTATTGTTCACCTTAACGAAGTATGACGACCACTTTTACCTTTGTTCAACGATCTGCAGCACGTAGGGCGTAGCTAAGGGTATGAGGTGGACTGATGTAGACCGGTTTTTTGCTTCTGCCGATCAGTGCCTGGTGCCTTGGCATGCGATTGAGTTGGAAAGGGACGGCGCTACGCTGTGACTGCACTATAGCCCTGTCTGGGAACCTGCGGGGGGTGGAGGGACACTGTTGAGTGGTGATGTATGGTCTGTACGGAGTATTGCAGGAGCTTCAAGCCCACCTGGCAGCAAGAGTCTTAGACCCCAGTCGACCAGTGTCGCTGGTTGCAAACCAGTAGGATGGAGCCCAAGAAGAATAAAAATAGTAGCGTTGGCGTTTGTCCCAAAGGCCAGTGAAACCCCGACCGGCGCCCGACGTTGCCTTGAAGCCCACACAATTCAAGGCCCGTGGTTCGTCCAGTCAGCGCCTATGCTTGCCGGCCTCAGGCAGCCAAGTCTCGTGCGCCCATCGCAGCTTGCGCATCCGCCGGGCTAAACTGGGTAACTTCCCCCCCTCAAAGGTGGGAAGTCAAACCCACTTCCTTACCAGGACTCATTTCTTGCTCCATCCCTCGTTTTTCTCGTCTCCCTTGCCCTGACGTCTTTCCTTCTAATTCATCCCCTGTTTGGACTTCTTTCCGCTTTTGTTCCAGGGGCGCTCTCCATTTCCTCGTCCTTGACCAGCTCCACGTTACATCCCCCTCCTCTCCTCACGTTACATACTACTACCCCCGAAACTCCCCTCGATACCTTACTCATCAGCTGTTTCTACAATTAGCTACTCGCTTTTTCTTCCTTCCTGTTAAAACGATCTCGACTTAAACAAATCTCCTTGCCACGAACTCCTTAGCAGAAACTTGCCTCGTGACACTGAACCGGAATTTACTTATCGTCCACGAACAACGAAGCCCTATCTACCCCTGCTTATCGCAGACCGTACCCTGAGATCTATACATTTTCTTCGCCTTTTACCACTCCCCCAATTCGCGTGGCACAACCAGACACAACTTCAAAAACTAATCCTCTCGATTTACCGAAAGCTGGGGACAGCAAATGTGCCCTTATGCCGTCTCGGACCCCATATAACCCATCCTATCCCCCGACCTCCGGCTCCCCGTCTAGTCATATCCGTTCGGCTGCAATTCCCTTCCCGGCAGAAGGAAACTCGCCTCATCGGTTACCGCAAGATGGCTCAGGTCTATCGACCATGCCTGGAAATCCAGCGACTTCACCCCCTCATCATCGGGGACATTCTCGTTCCGTCAGCCATCCGTTCCCCTCACCCTTCGGCGGTATGACGAAGCGGCGCAATCGGTCGATCTCGAAGAAGGATAACTTTTTGTTCGATTCCGATGATGAAGATGACGATGAGGTTACATACTTGCCGGACCCGAACTCGTCTAGTCCTCGTAAAGGGGCCGCGCGTCCGACTCCGTCTGATGAGATGACCTCGGGGAAGTGCATGGTTTGTAACAGTACAGTGCGCTGGCCGCGGAATCTCAAAGTTTTCCGGTGCACGGAATGTCTGACTGTGAATGACTTGGAGCTGTTTGTGGATTCTGGCAAGGCTGGCGGTAATGGCCTTTCGGGGAGTGATGGAAAGGCATCTACCCCTGCGGTGCCCCGTAAAGGTATGGATTATCCCCGCTGGGCCTGTTTACGGGACAAATAGTGAACTGACTGTGTTTAGCTATGCCACTTTCTATCGAACGAACAAGAACGATCCTAGATGATTGCCTCTCCAGGTATCTCCGACAGCTCTTGGAACCACAGCAGCAGAATTCAGCACCAGAAAATCATAGCGGAAAGTACTTGGATGTCGCCCAGGATGAGAATTTATCACAGTCCCCGACTCAGTCGTCCGGGTACTTATCTGAGCCGCGACCATTGGTGGATCCTCGGGGCCGCAGTTCCTCTACATCCAGTAAGACTGGGAAGACGGAGGGAGTAAGCGGCGTCCCGAATTACTCGAAACCTAACTTGACTCCTTTCTATGCGCATGGAGAGAGAAAGGGCTCCGAGATGAGGAGCCGAGATGCTCAAAACGCCCCGAGACGTGATCGCTCGCCTCGGAATGCTGTCCGATCAAACGGTCCAGAAGCTAGAGGTCCTACTAGCCGTGCGTACATCTTCAGATCGCTTGAGGAATATATCATCACATCATTCAAAGGCTGTGACTGTCTGAACAGCTCCTTCACCACAGCACAGCCGGCCCCGCGGAATACTGTTAACAGCAGCCCACCAAAGCAGAAAGCGGAACCAAGCTCTACTCAGGCCCCCAGTGAGGTAACATTTGAGCCCGATCCGAAGCTGCTGCTTCTTGGAGACATTGCAGAGAATTCCTCCTGGTGGATGAACGAAGTAGAACAGATTAGTAGCTCTCATCGGTCCCGCTCGAAAGAGCGCCGGGAGAAGACCTCTAGCTCGTCTAGGCCTGTTTCTTCTAGGAGCCCTCGGATCAATTGGGCAGAACTTGCACAGTGGCACCACATGATCATGACGGCAGGAACGTCATGGGTGGAGCTGTGGTCAACAATGAAGCCTACCGAGATGAAGAGGGAAGAAGACGCCGTTATAGCCCAGAAGTGGACTACCACCGACCTAGCTATGGTTGACAGAGAGATTACGGAGTCGCGCTTACATTTACACCGAACGCTCTTAAAGGCGACCGAGAACCTGCTAAAACGGCCCAGACGGCCATTGAAAAGGCCGGAGGATACCAGATTTCTACTGATGCTTCTGACGAACCCCTTAATCTATCCGTCCAGTTCGTCGTTCGCATCGTACAGTCTGGCGCCTTCGGCGGCCCGCGGTGACCGGAGGCCTTCTCACCCGAAAGACGGCACTCCAAGACCAGCTCCTCGGAATCCAAAGCCTCCTCCAAAATCCCGCAGCAATGGTCTGGGGCATCATTATGGCATTGTCAAGCGGATATTGGGGCTTTTGGCCAATTTACCGAATGACTGCCATCACTACTTGGTGTCCTGGTTCTCGCGGTTCTCGGCTGGGCAATTCGAGAAGATCGTGGACCTTGTTGGGGGATTTGTTACTCATCGGTTAATGCGTCAACATGGGAGGAAGCGCAGCGAGTCGACTCAGCACGACGACGATTTGGTGCCTAGCTTCTCTAGTGCCGCGGGCCATACTCCAGCCGAGCTGCATGCGGCGATCAATGGCAGAAGCCCCAACAAAGCAACTGAGCAGCGCGACCAGCCGGTGGTGTACACTGATGACTGGCAGGTGCGAGCTGCGGCGCGAGTGATGTCTCTGCTCTTCACGGCGAACAATGCGAACGTTTCCCGAAAGCCGGACGGCATCCTCGGCCAAGATGCGAGTTCTGTGGCTAGGAGTCAGGCCAGCCGGCGGGGGCATATGATTCCGATCAGTTCCTTTTACAATACACTGCTAGACTATTCCGACCTTGTCGCCGACTTTGAGGCCTGGGAGTCGAAGACGACCAAGTTCTCCTTCTGCCAATACCCTTTCTTCCTAAGCATCTGGGCCAAGATCCATATCCTGGAACACGATGCCCGCCGGCAGATGGAGGTCAAAGCTCGCGAAGCGTTCTTTAACAGCATCATGAGTCGCACGGCCATCAGTCAGTATCTTGTGCTGAAGGTGCGCCGCGACTGCTTGGTGGAAGACAGTCTGCGGGGAGTCAGTGAAGTCGTTGGCTCTAGCCAGGAGGAGATCAAGAAGGGACTACGCATCGAATTCCTCGGTGAAGAGGGCGTTGATGCGGGAGGTCTCCGCAAGGAATGGTTCCTGCTCCTTGTCCGGGAAGTCTTTGATCCTCACCACGGTAAGCACACGTTGATTGTCAGCCAAAACACGCAACGATCCAGTTAACTGATATTATTATAGGTCTATTTATTTATGATGACGACTCGCGGTACTGTTATTTCAATCCATACTGCTTCGAGTCCTCGGAGCAATTCATCCTGGTCGGCGTTCTACTGGGACTGGCCATTTACAATTCAACCATCCTCGACATTGCGCTGCCACCGTTTGCCTTCAAGAAGCTCCTGGCTGCGGCGCCGCTGTCGTCAATCACGCGGCCTACGTACAAGTGCGGCCTAGATGATCTAGCGGAGCTCCGCCCGGCGCTTGCCAAGGGTCTACGGGCGCTGCTTGACTACGAAGGGGACGTTGCGGAGACGTTCTGCTACGACTTTGTTGCGCAGGTAGATCGTTACGGCGAAACAGTGTCGGTACCCCTTTGCGCTGGAGGGGAGAATCGGCCGGTGACCAACGCGAACCGCCGGGAGTTCGTGGACCTGTATGTGCACTTTCTCCTAGACACGGCGGTCACACGGCAGTTCGAGCCGTTCAAACGGGGGTTCTTCACGGTCTGCGGCGGCAATGCACTCTCTTTGTTCCGTCCGGAAGAGATCGAGCTACTGGTGCGCGGTTCGGACGAGGCGCTGGACGTGGCGTCCCTGCGGGCGGTTGCCACGTATGACAACTGGTCCAATGCACGGCCAGAGACAGAGCCGGTGGTCCGGTGGTTCTGGGATTTCTTCGAGCAGACACAGCCGCAGGCGCAACGGAAGATCCTGTCGTTTGTGACGGGAAGCGACCGCATCCCCGCTATGGGGGCGACAAGCCTGTCGATCCGGCTGGTGTGTCTTGGGGATGAGACGAGCCGATTCCCGACGGCGCGGACGTGTTTCAACCAGCTGGGACTGTATAAGTATGAGACGCGGGAGAAATTGGAGCGCATGCTTTGGGATGCGGTGTTGAATAGCGAGGGGTTCGGGCTGAAGTAGAGACGG